CAAGTCTCTTCTCCCTCTCGGCCCGGTCATTGATCTCCAACTTGGCAGAATCAAGAAGGAGGGTAAGTTCGGAGACCTGGTCCTTGGACTCCAGGAGTGACCGGCCAACTTCTTCGGATAGAACTCCAACCTGGAAAACAAGCTTGTCAGTAAAAGCAAAGGAAGTAATTAAACCGGGAGGAAAATCAGAGTTGGTACCGTGCTGAGTTTCTGGGCCAAGGATAAAAATGTCACTTCAATGGACTCCCCTTCTAGATCTGATAGCCTGACCTTCTTCCTCTTTTCCCCCCTGGAAGTCTTGTGAGAACTCTTCCTTTTCTGAGAAGAAGAATGACCGGTCCCCTTCCCTTTGGCCTTGGCATCCTTCTTGGGATAAGGGACCCGGTCACTTTCGGAGAGATGGGTGGCTAGAGGAGAGTTCAGTTTTTGGCTCTGGATAGGGCTACACCGGGCACTTGTGGCCCCATCCATTCCAGGAGAGTTAGATAGAGGAGACCGGTTGGAGTGGAGGACTTGGACATCATCGTCGTCATCCTCAATGATGGTGGTCATCCTGTTAAAGTTCATGTCTGCCAAAGAGAACAAAGTAACCGGTTAGATTTTACACCTTATCAAAATGAAAGTGGAATCAAAAGGTTGAGGAAAATTAACCAACCTGGATGAGGAGAGCCGGCCTCAGCGTGACCATCCGGGGAATCAGCCCGGTTATCCTCAGCGTCATGGGTCGCAGACGCACCCCCATCCGGGTTAGATAGCCGGAATACCCAGCCTCCATAGGCATAAGGTTTCCCGGTCACAGGATCACCCTTGAGAAGTTTCTCGCAGGCGTCCTCAAGATCTTTAGTGGGCTCCGGATGAACCCTTTCAGGTTTTATAACCCGGTCAGCCCACTCAGGGTTAGAGAAAGGAAATTGGTCAGGGGGGAATTCAACAAAAACAAATCTTTTCTTCCACCTTTTGTGACTAGGGGGAAGACCGGTCACAAAAGATCTCTTATTACGTGAATGAAAATAAACAAAGCCCGGGCAATTACTAGTCCCGGGCAAGACTTCGTACATGTGGAGAAAAAGATGAAGGGAAGGGTCGATTTTCAAATGTTCACAAATATTTACGAAACAATTCAAGAACCGGTGAGCATTTGGAGTAAGCTGGCCGGGCAAAATCTTGAACTTGTTACAGATTTCAATAAGGAGGGGGCGGAGTGGAAAAATAATACCTCCCTCCAGAGATGCAATATGGAAACCCAACCGGGTTCCCTGGTGGGGTTCTATGATGTTGGGCCAGGTGGTGTTAGAAAGGACTT